AAAAGCAGTGGTGCGTAGGAAGAGATCAGGAAGCCAATTGGTACCTATGATGGGGAAGCCTCGAGTATTGATGCAATAATCAGCCGTAGTATTAGTTCAGGAACTAGATGTTGCATGCTACATTTGTAATTTTGAAGTATGATGCTTTATATATGTGCTTTTGCAGTAATTATTATGTTGAAGAGAGAATTTTAGTCTGAGGGAAGTTGATGTCTATTGTCTATTTTTTAGTAGACATACAATTTTGTGACTGGGACAAAATGTTTTGGCGTTTTCAATTAGATCTCATCTTCATGCATTTTTGGTCCAATACGTTGTACATATAAGCTCTTACTTTCCTAGCACTCAATATTCTGGTGGTAGTTCATTTTATCATATTAGATATATGTAGGAGAAATATAATTTAGTCCCCCAATATTTGATCTGTGTGCTAAACTGGTCTCTAATATTTTTGACCAAAGTAAATGTGCTCTCCAAAATTTTTAAATTTGAGAAAATTAGAATTATATACATACATACATATATACACCCACACACACATATACATACATACATACATACATATATATGTATATGTTTGTATATAGACATCCTGGTAGTTGATACGCTCCTCGATCAACATGTTTCGAGACACATGCATGTTTGCCCAAGGATCTAGCGAGATTTCCAACCGTTTGGATTGCGACTCCTAGACTCAAGAAGGACGACACGACTTGAATCAAGGCGGTAGAACGATGACTGCAATCGAGATGGATACTCTAGTGGATAGGTCGGTTGAACAATCAAGGACAATCGTGAGATTGCTCAAGAACCCTTGCCAAGCAAGTTAATGGAATTGTACTCTCCAATTTAAGAGAAAACAAAACAGAATTTTATTTTCAAAGTACGTACCCCTTCAACCATACAACTTGTCCCTTTTTATAGGCTAAAAGAACTAATGAAACCTAGGCTAGGGCAAAGGGAGGTTCGGCCATCCTTAGGGTTAGTGCCAAGCCTTCAATTAAAGAATTGGAAAAGACTAGCTAATGGACTAAAGCCAAACTAACAACTATCGCTTAGCTCGTGGGCTGGATCAATGTGTAGACATCCCGATATCAACTCTAGGCCTTCAATGTTCCTATGGACCCCTTGTTTGGTCTGAACATTTCGAACAAGGGCTGGGAGACTCTTTGAAGCACTTGGCCCTGCACGTGTAACGGGGCCCAATGGTACCGCACTTGGTTTTCAACCATCTCCTTTTTGTGCACACATCAGTAGTGTTGTTAATTGACCGAGTATTTGTCTACCAAGCTCGACTCGAGTTTAACTCGAGCTCGCTCGATAGGCGGCGAGCTTTGAAATGTGTTCGGATTCGGCTCGCCAAATGGACATGTGATGCGAGTTCGAGCTCGAGCTTGACTCGTTTTTCACAAACGAGCCGAGAGCTCGAGCTCATGCAAATTGACCCCAATAAAAGTCTATAATTTTCAATTTTTATGCTTTTGAATTGTGAAATGCATATATACCCTTCCTTATCGAGCCTAATAGAGCTACTCAGATAACAAACGAGTTGAGCTTACTCGACTTGTAAATTAAACGAGCATATCTCGAGCTCGAGCTCGACTCGTTTATCACAATTACGAGCCGAGCTCGAGCCTTATCGAGTTGAGTTCAATCGAGTTTTCAAGCTGCTCGTTCCATTTAACAGCTCTACGTCCTGGTTCAAAACCTCCTACTTCTACTTCCTCCCTCCTTACCACCTAACCCATCCCCCCCTCCAAAAGAATTGTGTTATATGTACTAAACATTGTAATAGTAAAAAAGAGGAAAAGCTAAATAAACTTTTCTTCTTCCTTTTTATTTCTTTTTTGCACTTATTCATACTACTATTTCTAATATGTTTATTCTCTCTTGCATAATTGGTCTCAAATTTGACACAATACACCTAATCATATCAATAACTAATTGATAAAGAATTTTATTATTTTCACTTATATTGATAATAAAATACTCAATTAAATATCTCATTAAAACGTGAACAACTATATGTTATTATGTTGATTGAATAATATTTTCTTTTTTTTTTGGGCATTTCAATTCGTTATCAATTAAGTTCAACTAAAATAGACATTTTATAATTGTTTAAATTCTTTAAAAAATTATCATTTTCAATTGAATATAAATATAAATGCATTAAAATTTATTATTGAAATAATTGATTTAATTAACATTACGGAAAGACAAGAAAAACAACATTCAATTTTTCTAAAATTTCATACGTGTACTTCATATTAGTAATCAATTTATTAATTTAGTCACAATTCCTAATCATAATCAATTGAAGCTCATATTCACAAGTCATGCAACATTTTATGTTGTAGCATTTAGAATAAAGTTACTATATATTGAAATTACGATTCTCTTCTTTCGAGTAATTTTTCTTTTATATATTATTCATACATTATTATTTGTTTGTAATTAATGCACTAAAAGGATGTTTTCTAGCTAAAGGACAATGTTTTGGCAATGTGGTCTGCTTTTATGGATTTTTATAGTGATTTGAGAACACATTTGCTATTCATTTAATCTAATTCATTTGAAATATAACTATTTAAAACATAAGGGACCATATTAATCAAAATTTCAAACATTAAGAACAAAAAATACAAAGTCAATACTTTCAACTCCTCCAATTTTATTTTGACTGTTGGATATTGTAGTTTTCCATTGTCATAAATCTGCATAAAATTAGAAATTTTGGAGATCATAATTGTTTTGGATGAAACATTAGGGACTAGTATACCTCGCTAGTCAAATATTGAGGACTAAAACTGTATTCTTCCTATTGGATATAGTGCCATATAACTCTTTTAGTTATATGTCTCCAAGCATTATCTGTGTAATAACCTATTTAAGAAATGAAAGTATCCTTTTTGGTGACTTGTTACTAGATCCATTTATACTTACATGGAAAAAGTGAAAAGAAACATTTTCACTCTTGGGCTATTGGCCACCACAAAAGAGTTAAATTTTTCGGATGCGAAAGGTTAAGAATTCAAAACTGGTCTTCCATAACTTTGTCACTGACATTTGGCTTCTTCAAATCTATATGGGTGTGTAGTGCACTTGTCTGGTCCGATAGCGGTTTAGTATCTGTCAGTTCCCTATGGCACAGTTGTAGTCCCATGACCTAGTTGGCCCTCCTTAGAATAGCTAAAGTATGAGTAGAAGCAGAATAGATGTAGAAGTTATCAATTAATCAAAAAATTTACTTGTGCTTTCTTGTGTGTGCGCGTGTTCCTTATTTAAAAAAAATTGATAGTGTAGTTAAAAGCAAAAAATGTGGTGGGGCCTTTGTTTTCCCGTGGGATTGTAGATGTTTTTCTCATCAATAATGTTTCTGCTTCAATACTCGTTATTAGTTCATGTTTTTTATTGGTTTTCTTAACCTAGACTCCCAGTTCGGGTAATAACGTCTTAAAATGAACCAGTTCACAAGTAAAGCTAGTTTTGGAGTTTAAGAAGAAAAGAAGAATTAATTATGACAAAAAAAGGACACGAGAAGAAAGAAATTAGAGAGCTTTTAAATCTTCTTGTAGAGATTAGGAGATAAAAGAAATGATTTGGAAAACTTAACGCTATCCTATTTTATATATTATAGACAAAAGTTGCATTTTGGCAACTCTTATCCAAATCTGGACACTTCTTTCCTTTTTTTAACTATAGCTCTAAAAGACATTTGCTCATATCTGTCCATTTTTATCCTTTCCATCCCCATAAATCTCAAATTAGAAGCTTTACCTTTCTTCTCATGCCTCCTCTCCTTCCAAACTGCATATATACATCATCCGACTAATATCTACAATAATGAAACTGTGTGTATCTTGTTACTATAGCAATTACAATTAATAGTTTTTCAAACTGTAAAACATTATACACATCAAAATCATAAAACTTGGTTACTTTTATCTCCACAGCCTATAAAAAATTTACGCGTCACACACCTCATTAGCACAGTCACACTACCATACCAACAGTAGATCATGGTTCTCAAAATTTTTCATGCGAATTAATTGACAAACTTTAGATCACCAAATCTATTATCTTTCTTCCAATTCATTCATTTGCAAAAACAGTCATTTGATTTATTATTGTTTGGAAGTTTGAAAACTCAACGTTCAATGTCCATTCATTTGAGATCCTTTCTCAAATAGAAGTCCATCAGCCCACAGAGAGGTTTTTCATTACTGGGTTCCCATTTGCAAAGGTATTCATATGGATAAGACTACATGTGTCATGTGGATGTGATGAATCATGCATGTACACTTAAGTTAGATCATATTTGTAACTTGCCAATATAGAGTTCTGTCTCTTGGAAGTGGTAATTAACCTCACAAAGCGCAAATGAAAACTGTAAAGATGAGAATTAATAATAGGTTATCAACTTTGTTTCAAGGGCATTGAAGATCAACAACTACCGTAAAATAGGTCATGCCACACTTTCATGTAAATGATATTATAAGATGACATACACGATGTAATGTATACTAACAAATTGCTCATTAGTTGCTTTTACTATCCACAATATATACTGCCTAGGATTAAGGGAAAAAAGCGCGTTCCTACAAAACCAATGCCATGCAACTTAACTTTGGCAATATACACAGAAAAAAGAAAAGAAAATCCAAAAAACCATGAATAAATGCTAAGATTCAGAATATGACAATGGAATATTAATACATTAAGAATTGGCCGATTGGAACAAACATAGCGTAACACTCAGTTCCCGACGGACAACTGTACCAAGACATATAAGATGGATCGCCTAAAGGCCTGCATGAGTGACAATGGACAAAAGAAGTTTTCAGGAATTACCAAGTAAAAGGCAAAGGTATCATTTTAACTAATGTTGTAAACAGAAATTCTAACAAATTAAATTCGCAAACAGGCGTATGTTTTCATAAATAATGCTATTTTCATAATTCTATATGCCGATAAATCATATATAAGAGAAAAGATTATAACCAAATGGTTTCATATTTTGGTTTCTCATCTTAAAACAAAAGCTCAATTTCCAGTGACACAAAAAGAATTCATCCAATGAGTCTGGTCTCGGTTGTTTGCATTATATACTCATTGAGGATGTAAAGTAAATTTAAAAATTTCACACTACCATAACTAGAAGAACCATATCCATCTAATCCTAAACAGTAAAGAAGGATTGATGACTACTAATGAGCAATCGTAAAATAACTACTAATGACGCACCTCCACATGATAAGGTACATTACTATGAGATTTGTTGCAATGATTAAGCACAAATCCAACCAATAGTGATGTATCCCAAGCCTAAGAAACTGTTTTTTCCACCAATCCAAGTCACAGTCGAAAGAACCAGCTTCTTTTGCCTCCAGAAGCATAATCATTATCGTTATACTGTATCACTACTGTAATCTTCTCATTAGCCTCAACATACTGTTCATTTCACCCATACAACTTTCAAAAGCTCGGAAATGCTGCAGTGCGCACCAGACTAGAAGATCTTCTCACTGTTACAAGCCAATAATCGAGTAGAATAAATGAACACTTGAATTGGTAAACAGGAAAAAGTAAGGGAGAGATTTTGAAAGAGCGACAGAAAAAAGACAAAAGGAAGGGATGACTGCGTTAACTGGTATTTTCTCATCAGGTTTTCCACCTCCAATCAAGCTTCCTTGCTAAAAGCTTATAGGATAAACTTTTGATCCAAATTAAATGATATAGTTCTTATTACTGTCCTATGCAACATCTTTCTCGTTTACAGATAGATTCATGCCCTTAACTGACAATTCATGAGCATCATTGAACATACTCCCAGTAACAAGGGCACCAAGGCACAATGCGCTTATTATCAATGAGCGCTACTGTTTGTCACTTCTGCTTTTGACATATCTGCATTACAAGTAGAAGTGTCAAAATGGATGACATGGACGGGTTTGAGTTGGGTAAAATGGGTAATGGGTATAAATGAGTCAACCTATTTATACCCATTTAATTAGATGGATATAAATGGGTAAGTCAAAAAATGAATTGGATAACCCAATTACCCATTTATAACCCATTTATTTTAACTTTTGTAAACTCATTTAAATTCATTTTTGCAAACTAAGTTATCAATTTATACTACTTTTTGCACCCATCATTAGTTTTAAATATTTACTTATAATGTTCAATAAGCCTAATTATTAATTTTTTTCCTATCCATACTCTATGTCGCAAAATTACATACTATTTAATAATTGAATAATAAAAATTTAAAAATTTAAATTAAGTACTATAAAAATTAACATAAAAACTTAATCCAAAAATTTTGAACCCCTAACATGTTTTGCATGTGAAAATTTAAAATTTCATTTTAAAAATGTAGGAAAAGAGGCTAAAACTTTATCATAAATTGGTAATGCCAAAAAATGAGTAAGTTAACAAATTAAGAGAAAATAAAATGATAAAATAAAACTAACAAATAACAATAATAATGAAACAAAAGTAGTTAACATCATAACAAAATGAAAAATCTTCAAAAAAAATGGGCGGGAGAAGAGAGGAGATTTGGGAGAAAATAATTCTAAATGGGTTTATTGGGTTTGATGGGTTACTCAATAACAAAAACTATTAACTTACATATAGAATTATGGGTAACCCATCAAACCCATAAACTATTAACTTACATCTATTAACCCAATAATAGTTTATGGGTTTGATGGGTTAATAGATGTATTTATGGGTATTATTGAGTAAATGGATATTATTGGGTAACCCATTTATACCCATATACAAAAACTTAAGATACCCATACCCATCTATTCATGCGCAGGTATGGGTAAAATTAATTGGGTTGATTTGCCACATATAATAAAAAGCAATCAGACACTTTACATCACACTGGCTTGTAATAAACAACCTGAAGATGGAAAGGAGATTGAGATTTCAGGGAAGCTCTGAATAGGGATGGCAACGGGGCGAGGTTGGGGCGGAGGACCCGCCCCGCCCCCGCCCCACTTCCCCCGCGAGGTTAATAAAATTTTATTATATAATTTTATTATAATTAAATTTTAATAAATAATCAAGTACTAAAATATCAACACATCACCAAATTATTATTCACTGTAATTTTACAATTGAAACTCATAAAAACAATCAAACAGAAGTTATTTGAATACAATCCAATATGATAAAATAAATATAACTAAAATAGTCAAGTTTTCACTTTTAGTACAAATGCAATCACTAATTCATTATTGTTTTTGTGCTTTTTTTGAGAAAAAAGTGTTATTCTATTAAGTGTAATTAGAAATTTAGTATAAATGTATTAGTAAATTTAGTATAACTAATTAATAAATTCTATTAGTATACATGTATAATTATTCATATAATTGATAATATCCATTATATTACATAAACTAATATACATTATATAATACATCTAACTAATAATATCATTATCATAAGTTTATAACTAATTAACTTACATATTATATATATTTATATATATATATATTTTTTGTTTTGCGGGTGGTGGGGGGGATAGGGCGGGGTATACTCTCCCGCCCCCCGCCCCGTTTCTAAGCGGGGGAAAAAATTCCCCCCAGCCCCAGCCCCCGCCTCGAGAGCCCCCCGCAGGCACCCATCCCCATTGTCATCCCTAACTCTGAATAAGTGAAGATGATACCAATTAATCAAGTAACAGTATAGCGCACAAGAACTCTCAAATTTGCAATTAGCTTTCTATTAATTCAGAGTTTCCTGTTATGGCAATGAGCGGGAAAACTACAAAAAATGCCACAAATAAAGAAGCAGTTCCACACCCACAAATTAAACTATATCAGGAGTAAAAGCAAAGCATGATTGCAAGTAAACCCATGAAACTACAGAATCTGGAGAATCAATAAAATTGGAAGAACAAGTCATCTCCACCTGAATCAAATAAAAATCCACTCTGATCTCCAGGAAAGTTTCACATAATTAAGACAAATTACTCATTTGGACTGGTTTAGAAAGCCTCGCATGCAAGTGTTTTCACAAAAACAGTGGAAAAAACACCCAAGAGACAATTTCAAAACACACAGACAATGGTTTTGATAGAATTTATCAATCTGGTAATAGATGTAAGCTGGTTGCTGCATTTTCTTTGGGATCTAAACAAACATTTTGCAGACTAATATTTTTGAGCTGGAGAAAGAGGGTCGAATAAATGAAACAAATTCTTTCTGTGTTGTATCTGCAAACATCAGTACTAAGAAGTTGCACCTTCTGTCAAGCTCCTGACACAGCCTTGTTGGTCTTGTCATTCTGAATGAATGCAGTTTTCTCCATGGCAGTCTACAATTTCAATCACCCATATATCAGCAATAGCATATCAGACCAATTGAGAAGGTTACTTTTCTGAAAGACACTAGCAGATGGATCATCTAAAGCTTTACCCCCTCTGATGCAGACAAAGAGGCAAGACCAATTAGTATGAACCCTGGATCATGTTGGTAACTGGATCACTGAGGACCCTGCTATCAAATGTCATATCCGCTTCTTTTTCACCAATCTTTTCACCTCTGACTTTGTAGAAGTCAGCCTTCACCCTGAACCTTTTCCTACATCCCCTCTTACCCTCTCGCCTAGTGAAGCCCAGTTTTTTAGTCGTATCCCTTCCAGCCAAGAAATCAGGAAAGCCTGCTTAGATTTCAAGCCCTTCAAGGCTCCTGGACCTGATGGACTCCACGCCTACTTCTACCAAAAATTCTGGACCCTTCTGAAAAATTCTATTATTCAGTTTATCCAGGATGCCTTCAACCATTTACCTTTTCCTCAAGGTATCAAGGATACTTATATTTGCTTAATCCCCAAAACAGTTTGCCCTGAACTCATTCAAAGTTTTAGGCCTATTAGTCTTTGCAACTCACTTTACAAAATCCTCTCTAAAGTGATTGTAAACAGACTCAGACCTTACCTGACTAAGGTTATCTCTCCTTTTCAAACCAGTTTCCTACCTAGAAGGAGTTGCTCCGATAATGTCAAACTAGTTCAGGAAGCCATTTTCAAAATTAAATCAAAAAAGGCACTAAGAGTTCTTTGTGCTATTAAGATTGACCTTGAAAAGGCTTTTGACAAACTAGAGTGGCACTTCATTAGGGAAGCCCTGGTTTTCTTTGGCATTCCCGAAGCTCTCACTCAAGTTATCCTCCAATGCATTTCCTCTCCTAGACTTGCTGTCCTGCATAATGGTAAGCCCATTGATTGGATCTCCCTTCACGGTGTATAAGGCAAGGAATTCCATCTCTCCTTATTTATTTATTATGTGCATGGAATACCTCTCCTTATCTATAAACAAAGCTATCTCTGAAAAAAGAGATGGAAGCCACTTTCTTTTCGTCCCAACACTCCCCTTTTATCTCACTGCATTTTTGCGGATGACATCACCTTGTTTGCTGAAGCTAACCTAGGATCCATTCTTTCCATCCAAAACATCCTGGAAGATTTTTCCCTCCGATCCAATTTATCTATCAATCGACAGAAATCAAAAATTTTCTTTTCTCCTAACACCCCCCCGAATCTTAAACTCTCTATAGTCAATCAGTTAGGCTTTTCTGAATCTCATGAGTTTGGCAAATACCTTGGTTTCCCCATTTCTGGGATAGGGTTAGCAGAAACCAGCTAAACTTCATTTTAGACAAGGTAAAAAAAAAACTCTCAGGATGGAAGGCAAGCCTCCTCTCTTTTGCTGGAAGGAAAGCCATAATCCAGCAAACAACCACTACCATTCCTGTTTACTACTCCCAATGCACCCCCTTCCCTGCCTCTCTCTGTAATGACATTGACAAGAAGCAGCGAAATTTCCTTTGGGGCTCAACTTCTCAAAAGAGGAAGCTTCACCTAGTCTCCTGGGACAAAATTACCAAGCCTAAAGACCTGGGAGGATTGGGAGTCAAGCAAACTGCCTTAATTAATAAGGCTTCGATAGCTAAATTCTGTTGGCAGCTTCATACAGAAACCACGAAACCTTGGGCACAAATCATCTCCCGCAAAAACCTACCCAACTCCCATCCCACCCCATTCCTTGATTGGAATTCTGTTAGACGTAGAGGCTCGGTAAATTTCAAATGTATTCAACAATGCCTCCCCTTGTTCAAAGCTGGTAGCTCGAAAGCTATCAAAAGTGGAGCAAATACATTTGTTTGGCATGATAAATGGCTTCCCCAAGGTACCCTCAGATCCTTGATCCAAGGGCCTTTAACTTTGGAAGACCACTCCATGCTTGTGAAGGACCTATTCAATTCCCTTCATGACTGGAATCTGGAAGCCTTATCTATGGCGCTTCCCCAGGATCTAAGCCAAAGGATATCTGCCATCCCACAGCAGAATTACAACCCCACCCCTGATACCATTAGATGGGGACCTTCCCTTAATGGTAGCTTCTCATTTAAATCTGCCTACTCCCTAGCTTTTCTCCAAAAATACCCAAACCCAACCGAGTCAAACCCCTCGTGGATCTGGTCTCTGCACATCCCCACAAAAAATTAAACACTTTCTTTGGTTGTTAGCCCAACAGAGAATTCCTACCAAGCAACACCTCTTCGACCGGCATATCATCCCTGACACCTCTTGTCCTTTCTGTAACCATTACTCGGAAGATGCTGAACATGTGGTGAGAGGATGTCCCCGAGCCTTAGAGTTCTGGGACAAAATCCAGCCTCCCTTCCTTCACCACCCTTGGAAACCTTTTAACATTTGGCTCCTTCAGAACTGCAAAAATTCCTCCCCTCCCCCTACTGTTCCATTTCTTGGAACGTCATTCTTGCTTTCTCTTGTTGGGTACTCTGGAACAATAGAAACAAACTTTTGTTCGAACCAATTAGAGCTTGGAAATTCCCTCACATTCAGGCTTTAAATCTTGCTGCCGAATTTGTCGCTATTGGTCCAAGCTGCTCTCCCCTTCCCCTACCCAAAAGCCAGGTCCTTATTGGATGGACTCCACCACAAAGAGGATGGCTTAAACTGAATTCTGATGGATCCTGCTCACCCAACCCTGGTCTCGGAGGATGCGGGACCCTAATAAGAGACCATCTTGGTACTTGGATTAAAGGGTCGATTCGAAAGCTCGGCCACACCAACAATCTGCTTGCAGAATGTTGGGCCATCAGAGATGGACTCGAAATCGCAAGATCATTGAATATCCAATGTTTGATTGTTGAATGCGACTGGGAAGTTGTCCTTAACATGCTAAACACCTCAATTCCTGAAGGTCATGACCTTGCTCCTAGCTTAAATGATTGCAGGTACCTTCTCTCTAATTTCCAGCAAGTGCAAGTAAGGCACATCTACAGAGAGGCGAATAGAGGAGCAGATGCACTAGCAAAGTTGGGTGAAAAGCTTTTGTGTCCCTTTTCACTTCTAGATTCCTGTCCTCTCAGCTTAGGATCTATTTTGTCTGATGATTTGAGGAAGTCTATTTCCCCAGATACATTGCTAAGTTGAAACCTTTCCTTTTTATTTTATGCAAGTCTTTCCTACCAAAAAAAAAAAAAGTATAAAAGTTATAACCACCTGAAACAATAACATAAGGCAAAAGATAATCAGAAAAGAACAGAAAAGGAAAAAGATCAAGTTTCATAGATCAAATTCCAGTTGCAGAATATCAAGAAAACATACCGACCGGGAGTTAATATTGCTTTGCATGCAGGAAGTTCTTGTTGTGTAAACCTAGAATCTGAAGTGTAACAAAGTGGGAACAATTGAATACTTATATTAACAGGGATGATATATAAAACAAAGCTATTTCAATGAATTGATCATTCATAAAAAATGATATCAGTTTTACATGCTAAAAATCAGAATTCAGAAAATAAAATTGCATATTGATCAGATGCAACAATGAAGCAACCAGAGAAAAATCCTCAAATTTTCACCATAAATCATCATTTCTTATGGGAATTTTAATGCAATTCAATGAATCACAGCTTTAAACTATATGAAAACTCAATCAAAAAAATAAAAATAAAAATAGAAAGGGGGATCTCGCAAAGAGCTTTCATAAAATCTCAAAATTCAGAAGCATATTACCAATACTAACCACCCTGCATTGCCAAAACTTATGAAGTAATGATCAGGAACCAAGAAAGGGAATCCTAAGTAGCACTTAAGCACTATTGTCTTTTTTGTCTTTTTACAAACAGATTTTTCTTATTATGGTCATACAGGCACATGATAGTTCCTGAAAAACCATTTCTTGTTTCCATTACTATTCTGAGGCTAATTGCTCGAATAGTTATCATCAAAATGGCCACAAATTCCAAACAAAAAAAATGCATTTTAAGAAATAATCAACCACAATCATCCACAAATTTGAAAGAAAGAAAATAGAAGAATAAATTCCTCCGTAAAGCAATTGAATAAAGAAAATTAAAAAACAAAGAAAGAGGGAATCGAAAATTGAGAGAGAGAATCTATACTTGGATTGCCTGGATTTCTTGGAAGAAGATTGAGAAGAACCCTCCAATAATTTTTGCCTTTGCAGGTTGAATAAAAACGCAAAGAAAGGATAAGGGCCAGGTGAAAGAGGCCAAAGCATTACATTAATCAAGAGGAAGAAACTACACCAGAAAAGCGTGAACTTTGCCAAGCCTCAATTCCCTCCACGCCTTCTCGAATCACAAATAGCCTATCCCCACCACCCTCAATTTTCTTTATAACCCCTCTTTCAGAATCCTCCACTTTATCCACATAGTTCCTCCTATACGACCCTTCACATAGAATCCTCTCTCCACCCACATTCTGATCACCATCTCCCTCCACCGTGGACCACACCTCTAGCTCACCTTCCCTACCCACGAACAGCTGTTTCCTGTAACAGTTAATCACACAATTGCCCACGCTGCTGGCCCCACCAGTCATCATCCTCATCCTGGGGTTCTTCTCTTCCAAATAAATCCATGGATCTTCGCTTAATTTGCGGAGGTCTGCCACGGCCAAATCCCCCGATTTAGAACCCAGTTTGACCAGTGTCAACTCGTCCACATCCACATCCACGTCAGCAAACGAGTCCCAAACCTGCTGCTCCTACCTGAACCGGGCTCGTTTGTCTCCCAAACCACCTCCTTGGACCTCGGGTCCCACAATCGTATATAACCCGAATAACCAAACCTCCGGACGTCACCGAAACTCCGACAAGTACTCCGGCCTTTGGCACATACTTCAGCTTTCCGGCAACCATGGACTTGGAAGAGCTCCCCGACTGCCTCGCGACCTCTAACGTCGTCCACTTGTTCTTGTCAATCATCAGAACGCAATTCTCCTTGTGCCGACAATCGAAGGAAGCAAAGACCGAGTTGTCTGAGTCAGCGATCGCGTTGACTCGGGCCTTATAGATCCTAGGGTCTGTAGGGTCCGCCCAGTCGACACAGCAAGACCGGTATCCGCTCGCTGTGTTGTAGACATGAAGCCCCGCCAGTGTTTCCGACCCCACTGCGGCTACTCCAGGTCCGATCCTCCGAATTGTACTTATATAATCAAGATGGGTCCTGACGGTCCCGGAATGGGTTAAATTCCAATCGTAGACCGAAATCTGACCACCGTGGGCGACCCAGACGGAGCCGTCGGAGTCGATGGCGTTGAAATCAGAAACCGTGGCGTCAGAAGAGGGGCGGATAGTGGTGAAAAGGGAGGCGTCGATGCCCGTTAGAGGAGACGGAGCGAGAGCGGATTTTAATTGGGATTCAATCCCGTAATAAGAAGCCTCGTCGATGAGTTCTTGGTTGGAGAAGCGTTTAGCTGTAGAAGGGAGGCGGTTGGAGCGCAGGAGAGAAAGGAGGGCTGAGAATATCTCAGGGTCGCGATCTATGAAGACCGGTTGAGACGGGTCGTGGTGGTGGAGCGACCGGTTGGACAACAGCGATAGAAGAGAGTCAGGGCCACCGGAGCGGAGAGTGGAGGTGGTGGTCTCGAATAGCTTGCCTCCGACATTAAGCTTGATGCGGTCGCTGCTGGGTTGGGTTTCTGTGGCATCGTGGGGATTCTCGCCCTCCATTATTTCTTCTTTTTGTCACACAGAGGCGTCAAGGATGTCTCATACTCGGGATAATTTGATTGAATAAATAAACGCTATACGGAGGTTTTCATGTGGACCGATTGTTGCACACTAAAAGGGATAATTTCAAAATCCTACCCTGAGGTTTCTGAATATTTCACTGGCTTTTTTTTTTCTAAATTTTAAAAATTATAGTGACCTTCCTTTAAGACTTATTATCTTATAACATTTATGTCCAATCAATAATAAAAAAGTAATATTATAATAGAAACAAAATATGATTCCACCGTTATCTCTCAACTACTAAATTATTTAATTAATTTAATACCCGCCTAAATATTAAAAAAATATTAGAATTTGCTATCATCATGGATTTAATCATATATAGCATAAAAATAGTATATCATTCTATATATTTTATTTAATATAAGATCTAAATTGCTCTTTTCAGTTATAAACTCATCGTCAAACATCAACAATAAATAATTAAAAAAATCTGTAACAAAAATATTACAAAATGTGAACTTTAATACCATAAAATTTCAGCAACTAATCTTAATATATGAACAAGAATATTTATGATGTTAAAGTTTGTTCTCCTGGTAACAAATTTTTTATTATTTGTTGTTAATGATATTTGACAATGAGTATATAACTGACAAGAATAATTTGTATCTTATATTCAGTGAAAAGTATAACATAATATACTATTTTTTGATACTATATGTGGTTTGATCCCTAATGATAAATTGTAAATTTTAATTTTTTTAATGTGTGCTTTGGTATTCAATTAATTGAATAATGTTGTAGATTAGGGTAATAATATAATCATATTATTATCTTTTCTCTTCGATTATTGCCTTTTAATTATCGATTAGCTCTAAATGTTACAAGATAATTAACCGGGAGGTTACTATTATTTTTAAAATTTAAAGGGAGGCTTGTTAAATAGTCAGAAATTTCAAGGGAAGTTTTTGAAATTATCCCATATTAAAATGGGCTAAAATTATTAAACCCTCGCTAATTTCTTAGAATATCAATGGAAAAAAAATCGCACAAATGTTGATTTGATGATGATACAGTTTCCTTGAACTATGCGTGTAGTGCTTATTAAGCATGACTGACCCTTGGGAATTTTTTTAAAAAATTTTAGACCGCCAAGCTGACGCAACTCGGTATCCCATTTGCCAAAAGCAAAAGCCTATATGCATGGCAAGCCCTTGGGAATATTTTTTAAAAAAAAAAAAACTAAACTAAGGATCCGTTTGATAAAACTAAAGTCTCAAAACTGAAATTTGAAATCTGAATCTATTAAATTATTGAATTATTAAGTATTAAATCTAACACATTTAAGTGCATATCACATTCAGTGATAAATGAATAACTTATCATTTAATTTTGGGAGCAAATTTTGCCCGAAAAATTCAGTGCCATTTAATTAATTCAGGTGTTCAAATTTTGGTTATCAAATGATTTGAATATATTACGATCTAAATCTATTAAATTTAAGTGCTGAATCAAATTGTCAAACATGGCCTATGTCTTTCTTTGTTCTCTTGTCATCCAGGACTAGTAACTTCTTGTTTCTGCATTTATTAAAAGACTCTTCCCCTTGATCTTCTAAGTGTTGTGTAGTTACAGCATCTCTTCTACCTTTAGCCTCTTAGATTAGAATCAAATTATTGAATATAAATTAGAGGCGCAATAAATATATAAAATAATTTTAATATTTTAAATTGAATAAAATAGACACTATGCTAATATTAGAGGTGGCAAAATGGGCGGGATGGGCGGGATTTGCTTGGTTTGAGATAAAACCGAATCATATGGTTTGGGTCCAACCTTACCCATATGTGTTTTGTGACTAATTTGGACGGGATCACTTTGGGATGGATTTAGATTGATTCCGCCCAATACCCAAATATATTTTCTACATATTTTTTTCCTTTAATTAATTTTTAATTTTTTATATAACTTTAATATTTTTATTTATTAAATTTCTTTTAGTTTTATTAAATAAACATGCAAGTGCTTTATACTCAGGATTCCTGTGAGAACCCTGAAAAATGGTTATATAAACTAGTGCATATTTCATTTGCATTTCTTTTATTCTTGGATAAATTTTAGTATTACTTTTAATTGTTCATAACCAAGTGCGTAAAAATAGGTTTACGTGAAAAATAATATAATTTTCCAAAGTTATGAAATTTCTTGGTTTTATTTGACTAATTAATATCTTCAGGGTGGAAATAAAATTTTTTTTTGTGTAAATTGGCACCTTGGATTAAATTATTATTTCACTTGACTTTATATTATTAATTCGATAAATGTCGAGTTAGATTAACTCTACTTCTTGAGAAATAATAATTGGATAATCTAATGACTAAATTTTAATCGCTAAATAATATAAGAATTATTGGAAACCTTAACATTTAAGATTAATCGATAGTTATTCGAAAAAAAAAATGGGTTAGGTATAGTAGAGATTAATTAAGGCGTTCAAATCGCACTTGGGGATAATTTTTAGAATTTAGTCGGATGCGAGAAATTAAGTTGAGATTAAGGAGCGAAGTGAAAAGACTAAAATAGCCTTGCCTTACCTTTCCATGCAAACCAAACAAGACGTATGACACAAATCAAATCACAATTGCTTTTAACCATTTCGATACGCAACCGTTGTTATACGCAATCCATTTTCACACGCAAACCATTCTCCTAAACAGCGGCACTTGTATCATTCTCTTTGTTTCACGTCTCAAACCACAATACTTTCTAATACCACTCAATCTATTTCACATCTTAAAACCACGGCCCACAATATTTCTTCATACTACCAATCCAATTCATATCACAAAACCACGATACCATTTGCTCTATTTCACAGCCACAAAACACAATACCATTCCTTCACTTTCACTGACACAAACCGCAGATGTTAATTCCTTCTCTGCACAAGCAACTCCTCGGACAGAAGCTTCAGCACCGCACCATTCAACCAATCAAAATTCACTACCAACTCAACACTCAACCAACTTCTACACTCAAAACCACGGAACCATCCCTCTCCCTTTTCATTCCTACACCGCAAACCACTACACTTCATTTTCATCGTGAGGCATCCGAGAGCAAGGGAGGGAACGTGAGTGAAATCTTCTTTCCATATTGCTCTGACCGTAAGCTGGAGGAAAGGCAGAGAGGGACCGTGAGCAAAACTTCAACCATTCTACACCCCAACTTCACGGCTGCAATACCACCACCTTCCACCTCCACCAGTTGAAGCCGCTACACCAAACCAGAACCAGCAAGCCTGTCGCATGCGTGAGATCTGAGAGGGAGCAGAAATTTTTCAGATTTTGTGTGGGATCTTAACTTGCTTTGAGGTAAATTTTCTGGAATAAAATGGATGATCAGAGGTAGTTTAAGCTAGCTGTGACTTTGGATGTGTTAAATTTTGTAACCAGATGAGGAAACCAAAGCTGTGGAAATTCTGTTTGGGGTAAATCATCCCTGCTGAGTAGCTGGTTTAGAAATGTAGCGCTATTTCTGATTTCCTGTAACATTTTGAGTTAGATTAAGTGTTTAACTAATCAGAAACAAGAAGCTTAGGCTATCTAAGAACTTGCATGTTGAGGTTAGGCACTTGATTGGGAAATTTGTAAGAATCGAATTTCTGTTATGTGCAAGTGTCGGAGTAGCCGCGAACTTGTTTTGGATTATTGCAGCCTATATTGGTTTTAATTTTGTGATTTAAGCTTACAACCATAATCTAATAGCTAATAACAAGTAATTAGACTCTGCATGTAGTTGATTTGTAAATTTAAAACAGAAAACTAAATTTTAGAATGCCATATGCCTTAATGCAAGATTATCCGAGCCAAGCAGGGAAAATTTTGGAAATTTTGATGCTAAGGAGTATTGTTTGAGCTCGAATTTTAAACTGGAAATGTTCAATTTCTAGCTAGATAAGTGCATAAGGAAATTGAGAATTTATAAGCATATTTAAACCCAGAAAATGAAAAGAAGACTGAAAGCTCTTCACGCATGATTCAACCGTGACTAGTGGGGAAAAAATTCTGATTTTCTAGATGACTTGAGTTACTATATGAACCTGATTTTGAAGTGGAAGCTTTTAGCAACTTGCTAGATGTTTACATTCTGAACTTGAGCACCGAACACCATAATAAAACCAAGGGAAAAGTTGAACTAAAGCAGATTGGATGCTGGAAAATTTTGGAAGCCGTATGATGAACTAGAATTTTTCAAAATTGCTTTTGGGAAGTTTAAATTGGTTTCTGGAATTTATTTTATCCATCCCTTGGTATATAACGTTTTAGAAATACCTAAGAGTGGAATATTTATGTGGTATAAGTAGTTTAGCAATGAAATGTTTAATACATTGAAAGGTTTAACCAAAAATATGGGTATACAATTGCTGGAAATTTTCCTTGTGATTGCCAAAGTTTGAGTTTAAAAATCCCAGCTGGATTGTGAAGTTTTCTTTGAATTCATAATGGATGAAATTGCCTGGAATATATTGTTCGGAAATCTATAAGGAAAATGTGGACGGTTTGAAATAAAAACATGTTGATGTAATGTCTGTGACCCGATCCTATTGTGATATTGGAAGTGAATTGTTGAAATTTATTTTTCCTTGAGAAAACAATGTGTTAGAATTGTTGACAGTGGGCTCTATGAATTCCCACCTTTGAACTATTGGTCAAGCTATTGGAAAACTGTTGAGAGTGGGCTCTATGAATTCCCACTTGAATAGATGACTGAATTGCTGCAGTTGATTAGAAATCTATGCTACCATTTTTGTAAAACGGTGAGTTGATATAAGTACTGATTACCATGTGCTAAGTATCGACGAAGCCTTGGCAAAATTTTCCTGCTTGTGCTTAGACATAATTTATCGGAACTCAGGGTTAATGATTGGCAAAGCCCTAGTGATATGACTATTTAAAATCCCGACTGTACAATATGATAAAATGTGATTTTTTGGATTGGAATCGAAAATGTGAGCAGTCGTACCGACCTTATGAACCCAAGCAAACGCTTGATCAAGTAAATGGAAAGACTATTTTTCTCTAAAGTCTTGAATGGTACTGATTTAACACCGTACTACCA